ATCGGCTCCATCTTTATGATTTAAGATGTGAAAGTTGCTATTCCTTCGAGTGGCCCTACTCCATTAGCGAGATCTAATTATTTCCATGTAAATAGCCCCCATCAATTTTATTAAAATTTCGTTTTCAGGAGCAGTTGCATACCTGAAGAACTTACTCCGATAAAGCATGCCGGAGTATTTCATGATCTCGCATGGAAACGCCTAGCTCGCGAGGTTGTGAAACCGTGGATGCGCGTATTGACTATTTTGGTATGATGAATTAGTACAACTTTTTCATCTTTACTCAACTATCCATTGAAGATCCTCATCATTTACTGGATCGTGACCTATTACGGTATATCCATTGTCGAAACTGACCTCTCCGTACAAAAGCTTGCACCAAGAGAAGCACGAATAGTCAAGTTCAAAACACGATATGACGAAGCTATTAAGGCAACATTTTCCTCCAAATTAGAAATTTCTTCGCCAGTGATACTCAGATTAAGGGTATGCAAACGTTCGTAGTGGTTGTTACTACACCTGGCGATCTTCGAGATGCAAACAGACTCGCTGCAGTGAAAAGCCTGATTCGCGACTATGAGACAGCGAGTTATAGGTAATGAAACAAAAACAGCCAAATTAGGTAGTTTTTTACCGGTAACAAATTTATAATTTAGCCTAAAAAATTAACTTTTTATACCATAAGATTTGATCCTGAGTATCAAGTTGTAGACGAATATTGAAAAAGTGACAACATGTTATTTTGTTTATGGATTGTGCGTGTTACATTATTTTCTTGAGGAAGATGAAAGAAGGGAGGAGAGAAGCGCAGACTAGAATCCAACTAAAAAATTAGTTGTAAGCGGACTCAACCTAACTTTATTTTTATGTAGTAAGAATGAAAGTTAAGATGCACCAGTGGACAATGAAAAAGTTCAGTGTCAAGGATGAAAATCCTTATTTTCTGCATTATTTCTCGTTTAAGTTACGGACCAGCATCAACGTTCTGCTTCCTGCAATCCTACTTGGACTACTTGACATTTCGCGAGGGAGAAGAGGACGA